TTTAATCTAATGTTTTGAACATTATTTTAAATCTAATTTTTATTTATTATCATAATTATTAATTTTTATTATTTTTATCATATTTATTATTTTATTTATATATTTTAATATATTTATTACTTATTATATTTTTATATTTATTATTATCATAATCTTTAATGTTTTGAACCTAGTAGATTTTGATGCTGAGGTGTTCATTTATTTAAGACCAGGAAATGTGATTATATATATGTGTGTGTGCGTATACACACACACACACACACACATTTAAGATTTTATTTATTTATTTGACAGAGTGTGGCTCTGTTATTGAGCATCTGCCTTCGGCTCAGGTCCTGATCCCGGGGTACTCGGATCCAGCCCCGCATCGGGCTCCCTGCTCAGCGGGAAGCCTGCTTCTCCCCTTCTCCCTCTCCCATTGCCTCTGCTTGTGTTCCCTCTCTCGCTGTGTCTCTCTCCGTCAAATAAATAAATAAAATCTTAAATAAAATGAGAGAGATGTAGCCAGTCTGTACTGAGTGGAGCATCTACTTACCCACACTCCCCTGCAGCTATTATTTCTACAAAGGCCAATGTCCGACACCCCCCCCTCCCCAGGAGGGCCAATGTTTGCAAAGCTGACATTGCTCTGATCTTGATATTTTTGTGAAAATGCAGTCATCAACTTGTGGACATTGGTTTGCTTCTCATTCACGTCCTTCTGGCTTTGTTTTCTTTTGTAAGAAACTGATAAGCCTTTACAACACGGACAGAGAAAGGAAGCCAGTGGCATTGACGTTATAGCACCTTGAACCTCATGTTCCCTGTGCACCGGCCACTCTTGGAAGCACATGCCCGGGATTCGTCCATTTCCTTCTCACAATTACTCTGCGATGTGGGGGCTGTTACTACCCTGATTTTACATATGAGGAAACAGACACAGAGAGGTTAAGTCAGTTGTCCGAGGCCACACAGCTAGCACATCAGAAGTGTCAGGATGGGTCAGAATCGTCGTGGTGTCTGGGAAGAACCCAGGACCCCCTGAGTTGAACTCCTCAATATCAAATTGGGCCGGAACGTTCTCAGGCCAGGATGGAAGGGTCAGGAGACTCTGGGGTCTCCGTGTCCTCAGGGTCACGTGTGGGCTTGGGCTGCAGGTCCAGAGGGAGGCGTTGTTCATGAAGAGTGAGCGGCACGCTGCTGAGGCCCAGCTGGCCACAGCGGAGCAGCAGCTGCGGGGACTACGCACCGAGGCCGAGCGGGCACGCCAGGCCCAGAGCCGCGCCCAGGAGGCCCTGGACATGGCCAAGGAGAAGGACAAGAAGGTGCGTCCCCCTTTCCCTGCGCTCCCTTGGGGGGGAGGTTCCCACCCAACAGAGGTTGGGGGAAATCCAAGAATGCCCAGATGAACAAGTCTGAGGCAATCAGCCCATTTTCTAGATGGGAGACTGAGGTGCAGAGAAGGAAGGAGACAATTCAGACACGTGGGGACTGTTCTAACTATGAATTATAACCGCAGTAACATTTATTGGGCGCTTACTGCATGCTAGGCCCCAAGCTATGTATTTGACACAGACCAACACATTTAATCGTTGCGTCAAATTCTTGTAAGATCGGTGCTTTTATTGTCCCCACTTGAAGAAACAAGGCACAGAGAGGGGATGCCACCTCCCGGGGGTTGCACAGCACACAGAGGTTCAGCCAGCGTTTGGACCCAGGTTCCCAAGTTCTGGTCTTCCTTAATGATGATGGGTGACAGTGGCCCGTGGCTATTGACTTAGGTGGTTTTCACACACTATCGGTTTTAATTTCCCTCTGACCCTGGAAGCCAGAAGGCATTCTTATTCCTGCTTTCTAAATGAGCAAAGCTGAGGCTCTGAGAGGCCAAGTGTGACACATCAGAGTGACGTGTTGGGTTGCACAGTCACTGGGCAGCACACGTGACTCCCAGAGCCAAGGGCACATTAGTGGAGAGCCCCCCAGCCCTAGCTCACTGTGTGACCTTGGGCAAGTCAATCGACCTCTCTGAGCCCCCCAGCCCTAGCTCACTGTGTGACTTTGGGCAAGTCAGTTGACCTCTCTGAGCCCACGACTGCCTCTTGCAAAACAAAAATAAAATTGTGGTTGTGATTCTGGTTTATTGGTTGTAGGGACTCTCCCCCTCGGCACGAATGACACTCGGGTCAGGTCATTCTCTGTTGGGGGGGCGAGTGGGGGCCAGGCAGCATCCCTGACCCCACCCTCTCTATGCCAGGAGCACCCCCAGTTGGGACAGCCACAGATGTCCCCACACATGGCCTGGGGTTCCCCGGGAGCAGGATGGCCCCTGGTTAAGAACCTTTGATCTGTAGTGTAATAATAAAGCCCAGCATTTATTAGGTGCCTGCTGTTTGCCAGGCACAGTTTCGATTTAACTTCAGTTCAGAATTACAGTAACCCGCCAAGGTGAGAACCGTGATTCCCCTTCCTTTTCAGATAAGGAAGCTGAGGCTCAGAGGGGTTAAATTGTCTCCCCAAGATCCCCTGCAGGAGAGGGGCAGGGAAGGACCCAAACCCAGGGCAACCTGACCCAGCCCCACCAGGCCAGGCTGCTGTGGGCCTCTGTTCCGTCAGCCTCCCCTTCCCAGAGCCCGCAAGAGGGGCTGTGACAGGATCAGCCGACTTCTGGAAAGAGCCAGAGCCCGTGTTCTCGGCTCTGACGTGTCCGTGAATGGGCGCGGGCAGCACACCTGTGAAATTTCATGTGCGCGCTCGGAAATGTGGATGCGATTTGATTGTCCTACATCACGAAACACCACTTTTCTTTTGACATTTCTCCCCCAATCACTTACAAACGTGAAAGCCATTCTTAGCTCACGGGCCAGACTCCCAAGGACCAAGAGTTTGCCGGCCTCTACGCTCTGACCTCCCCTTGCCAGCCTCCTCCCGAGGGAGGTGCCTGACAGGTCCAACGCCCCCGCCCCAGGTTTGGGGTGACTGGAGGCCCCCCTCATCTCCCCCCACCAGATCACAGAGCTCTCCAAGGAAGTCTTCAGTCTTAAGGAGGCCCTGAAGGACCAGCCGGGGGCCCTGGGCACCCCCGAGGTGGAGGCCCTCCGAGGCCAGGTTAAGGCCTTGCAGGAGCAGCTGAAGGTGAGGTCACAGGCCGGGGGAGGAAAGTGGTTCTGTATTTTAACAGCTGTTGCACTGGCACATGGGCTCTGGGTGCAACGGGGGAGCTTTGGGCATGTTTTGCGGGGGAGCCTGCTTTTCCAAGTATCCCTCCCCCATGCCCACAGGAGGCTGCCAGGGACCACAGCGCAGTGGTGGCCTTGTACAGGAGCCACCTCCTGTATGCCATTCAGGTGAGTCATGCCAGGCCAACGGTACTCTGGCCTGTCCTCCCATCTGTATGGTGGGGGGCTGGTGGTGCGGGGCGTGAGGGGGTTCATGGTCTTGCAGGGGTGGGGAGGGAGGGAATAGGGAAGCCAGAACAGGAGTGCCCAGGCATTCCCTCTCTCTCTCTCTCTCTCTCTCTCTCTCTCTCTCTCTGCTTCCCCCATCCCAGGGCCAGATGGATGAAGATGTGCAGAGGATCCTGAACCAGATCCTGCAGATGCAAAGGCTCCAAGCTCAGGGCCGATGAGCACCGCGGTGCTGCTCACCCAGTTCCTGCGCGGGGCGTCCGGGCCCCCACGCTCACGTTCCAAGCCCAGACACCCCCTGGGCCTGCTCCACTGTACTTGGCTGCGTCCACCGCCCCATTGGTCCCTGCGTGCCCTGGCCCGGGGTCGACCCCAGCCCTGACTATGCCCCCCGGCCCCGGCCGGAGAACCCGCGAGCCCCTGCTCCCACGTCCCATCCTGTCCATCCTGTAGCCAGGCAGCACCCCGGACCCCAGGAATAAAAGTTCTCAGAGTGGAGGATGAACGTGTATGGTCTGATCGCTGGGCCCCCACCCCCGGGGCAGGGAGGAGGACGGGGATGGCGTAGAGCAGGACTCGCAGGAGGGACCCCCATCTCGCACATCCACAGCTCAGGCCCCGGAATGGGGGCTACGTTCCTGTCATAGAAAGTCAGAACGGGCGACCAGAAGTCCGTGATAAGCAAACTGTCCGATGGTTAAGGGAAGACGGCATCCTAGTCTGCGCGCCCTGAGTCACTTTCCTCGCCCTAAATGCAGCCCTGCCGGGAGTCTCCCACCCCCAGCCTCCCTGCCCTTGGGCAAGTCCCTTGAAATCCCCGGGGGCCGCTTGGCTCCTTCCAGCTGGGGTGGGGGAGGTAGGAACGCAGCCCTTCCCCGGGGTTTCCTTGAGTGTCCAGGGAAGGCACGGCATCTGGAGGGGCTCAGCCTGTCCCTTGGCGTCCCCGTGGCTCAGAGAGGGTCCCACAGGTGGGGCTGCTTCCCCAGGGCCTTGTATGTCTCTGTCTCTGTGGCCTGGAGTGTGGAGCGCTGGCCAGGGTGGGTCCCCACCCCTGCGGCCGGGCGGTGAGTAAAGGGGTGATTTTTGTGTCCTGCCTGCGTCTCTCTTCAAACTGTGTCTCTCTGTCTCTTTGTCTCTCTTCTGTTTCTGCTGCTGGCTCCTGGGCTCCCGTCTCTGTCTCTGTCTCCGTTTCTCTGTGTCTCTGTGTCTTTGTGTCTCTACCCGCACTGGCCTTTCTCATCCTTCTCCCTGTCCTCTTCCCCCTCCGGGGTTTCCCCGTCCTTGTCCTTGCTGCAGCCGGAAGGAAGGACTTACAGTCAGACTGTTGTGGGAAAGGCCACGGGGGCTCCACTTCTCTCTTTCGAGGCCTCCTCTCCCACCCCTGTACCCAGGGCCTCCAGAACCCCACGCCCAGCCACGACAGGTGAAGGGACCTCTTCAGGCTTCAGCCCCGCTCAGCTCTCCGCCAGCTCCACAAACCGGCCAGAGAGTCAGACACGGGCAAGGGGAAGTGAAGGCTTTGACCGGGGGCTGTGCTTCCCCTCGGGTGGGACCTGAGTCCCCTGGCTCCCCGAGGTGCTCCCTGCCCCAGCTCCTGACAGCAGAGCCCGTGGACTCATGGTCTCAAGACTTCTCCTGGTGCTCGCCCTCTGGGTGGGCAGCTTAGCCTGCAGTGGGAGAGAAGGTATGTGGGACGCTCCGGGGCCCAGGGGACTGGCGTTGAGGGACGCTGCCTGGGGACTGGAGTTGGACTGTCTACCATGGAATATTCTGGGCTGGGGTAGGAGCTCACTCACCTGTTGGATAACCCAGAGGTGGGAGGGGGTTACCATCCCATTGCACAGATGGGGAAACCGAGACACAGAGGACCAGTCCCATGCGAAGTGACACCAGGAAGTGGCAGCCACAGCATGGACAGAGGGAGAGGGAAAGAGAGAGGGAGGGAGAGACTGAGACATTTTAATTACATGCATTCATTCCATGTGCTTCTAAACAAAGCTGCTAGGAAGAGAGGCTGCATGGAGACGGCTCCCTCCCACCGGGGCTCCCGGACACCCAGGTCACCCCCCACCCCCGTGTGGCTCCTTAAACCTCAGTTTCCCCATCTGGAAAATAGGCTGATACCCCCCACCTTCACAGGTTGTAGTGGAGGCCAGAGATGAGGCAGCTGCCTTCCATTTACATATTCATTTGCTGCACAAACTTTTATTAGACGCCTACTGTGTGCCCAATGCCTCTGGCTGGCAGGGAGGCTGGGGCCGGTCTGCCCAGGGCAGGGACATTCCTGGGGCTGGTTGGAAGCTCACGAGGCACCCTCCCTCTTCACGGCCCCAGCAGCCCCCGCCCAGCCCAGGGTGAGGTGCCGGGCCTCTAGGTACCCAGTCGCTGTGGATTGCTCCTGGACCCTGCCGCCCGCTCCGCACTCCGCCACGCCCGCGTCCTTCATTGCCACGTACAGGTCAGAGCGCCCGGGATGTCTGACACTGGGGCCGGGACAGCGGGAGGCCTAGCGAGCACCCCTCAGGATGCGGGAGCAGCACAGGCCCACAGAGATACACTTCCTAAAATACGGGTCACATGCAGAGTTCAAACCCTTCCAGAAGCCGCGTTTGAAAAGGAAAGAGAAGTGACGTTACTTTTAACATTTTGCTTCTCAGCATTCCAAATATTTGTTTAATAAGATCGAATGTAGCTTAACACGCTTACGGGCAGTTTACATGTTTCAGTTCATAATAGAGATAATATCATGCCGTGGGATCAAAGCAGGATCATGTCAACACGTAATCAACATGTGAAATGAGTATTTTACGTTCTCTCATTACTAAGTCTGAAACTCCATGTGCCTTTCACACACAAAGCACCTTTCAACTCACACGCTAAATGTTCACTGGGAATTCTTGGTCTCTGATTAGATTTTATAAAATCTGTGGGTGGGAAGGAAGAGTCACCCACCTGGGTGGTCCTGCCCAAGTCTGCCGTGTTTTCTGACCGCCAGGAACTTGATCTTGAGTTTGATAAAATAAATCGAAGCCACACTTGAACCAGACACACTTTGAACGGCAGACAGCCACTTGTGGCCAGGGACTGCTGCCTCCGACCCGGCCGTCAGAGCCCGTGGAATGTTCTGGAAGGCTGTTTGTGCAGCACTGAGCTCGTCTCTAGAGTCTGAGATCTCGGGGTCTCCAAACTCACGACAGTCAGTATCTTATTATTTTAGAACCTGTGAGTCCGTGGACCTCGGAATATTGGAATTCTTAGGCTGGAATGTTGACGTTCCAGAAACCTGTAGTATCTGGACCCTAGCGTCTCCGTGTGGGACATTCCCCTGACCCTGGGTCTGCACAGGGCCCTGATGTTGGGGTGAAGGCTCCCTTGGGGTCATACAGCCAACAGCAGGATCCCAGCCTGTGGTCCTTGAGTGCCGTCCACATGGGTCCAAGACACAGGCCAGTCCACGGGAAACGCTGAGGCCCTCACACTGCCTCTGTGTGTCCAGGCTTGGCGTGGCTGCCCACGGGGAGAGCAGGCCCTGCCTCCAGCCGACCCCTGAGGCCACCAGCTGCATCATCCCGGACGTCCAGATGTTCTCCATGGTGCCGTATATACTCAACGTCACGGCGGTTCAGCCCTGGCCCAGCAGCAGCTTTGTGCCCTTTGTTCCAGAGCATATCAGTGAGTGCAGACAGCAGCCCGGGCGGTGGGCAGTGGGGGGCGGTGGCTCTTGCTCCTGCCCCTCCCAGCTCTCACCACTCACCCCTGTGCATCCATCCTGGGTCGTTTGGCTCCACCTTTGCGTTTCTCCAAGAAGGTGCCCACTTCTTCCCACACTGAGCCTCCCACCACCATGCCCAGCCTCCATCTTCACTTGGAGCAGCTCAATCCCTCCCCAGTCCTGTCCTCGCCCCCACTATCCGCCCTCCCAACAGTGGCCACCAGAGGGCACCCACGAGCACCCGAATCGTGTCCCACCCTCCTCCCTCCTCCCTCCTCAGCCCAGCTCCCACCTACCTGGGGCAAAAGCCCAAGTCCTCCCCAAGGCCCCCAAAGCTTTGCACGACTTGCCTCGTCTCCTCCCTGCCCTCCCCTCCTCCCTCTATCTTCCTCCCTCACCTGATCCAGCTACATATGCTTCCTCTGTTCCTCCAACATACCAGGCAGGTCCTGCCCCAGGACCTTTGCACAGGCTGTGCCCTCTGCCTGGAACGCTCTTCCAGACTCCACACAGTTCACTCCCTCACCTCCTTCACATCAACTCAGAGGTCATCTCAGTGAGCCCTCCCCCGAGCACCTTATTAAAGACAGCAGACCCTCATATGTTGCTGATATATGCCTCATATTAAGAAAGTCTAGTAGTTCCTCAGAGACTTAAACATACGTAATCATATAAGCCAGCAATTCCAATTCTAGCTGTATACCCCAGAGAAGTGAAATTATGTGTACTCAGAAACTTGTTTGCTAATGTTCACGGCAACATAATCCATAACAGACCAAAAGCAGAAACAACACAAGGGTTCATCAGCAGATGAATGGGTACCCGAAACAGGCTCCATCCATATTATGGAACATTTGGTCATGAACAGGAGAGAGGTGCCCCCACGTGCTGCCTCCGGAGGTGGACCCCAAGCCCACGATGCTCAGGGAGAGAACCAGACACAGAAGGACACACGGGGTGTGTGTCCACGGGTGTGATACGTCCAGAACAAGCTCCTCCATAGATGGGAAGGGGGCTCATGGGGGCTGGGGACAGGGATGGGGGTGATGGCTGATGGGGTGGGGCTTCTTTTTGGGGTGATGAAATGTTCTAGAGTTAAATAGAGGTGAGGTTGCACAACTCTGAATGTCCCACAACTGCTGCACTGTACGTTTTGACAAGGTGAGTTTTGCAGTATGTGAATTACGTCTCAAAACACTGAAGCCACTCTTCTTGCCCTCTCGATCTTTCTGCGCTTGATGACCCATGGATTTGCTGCGTGTTTCTTATCTTTTGCCCTGATGCACTGAGCGCCAAGAGGACGGGGTGGGGTTTGTGTGGGTCACTGCCATGTCCCCAGCATCCAGGACGCCGCTGGACACTCAGTGGACAATAAATACACGTTAGTTGATTGGACGAAGGAGCGAGCCTACCAGCCCTGACCTTGCGTCCTGCTTATCCATCAGTTAAACCAGACCCTCCAGAAGGCGTCCGCCTGACCCCCCTCCCCGGGCAGCGGCTGTGGGTGCAGTGGGAACCCCCCCGGTCCTGGCCCTTCCCGGAGATCTTCGCACTCAAGTACAGAATCCGATATAAGCATCACGGGTCGCCCCGCTTCCGCCAGGTGAGGAGGGCGAGGGGAGGCGGTTGGAGGGCGTCCTGGGGAGAGGGGACAGCGCGTGCAGAGGTGCACTGGGGCCTCAAATGCAGCCGTGGCCAACTCACAGGCAGCCCAGAGCTGGGACTCCCGGCTGTCCACCCAAAAGGACAGCAGATGGGAGCTTAAACAAATGCTTGTACACCCGTGTTCACAGCAGCTCCATTCACAGCAGCCGAAAGGCAGAAACTGCCCAAATGTCTGTCAACAGAAGAGTAGAAAAACACATGTATCCACCCACACGCGGGCTTGTCACTCGGAGGGACCAGGGGCGAGGCACGGACAGGAGATGCCCAGGGACAGACCCCCAGCCCACGGTGCTCAGGGAGGGAACCAGACACAGAAAGCCACACAGAGTGTGTTCATTGATTCCATTTATGGGAAACATCCAGAACAGGCACATCCCCGGACAGGAAGGGGGTTCTGGCTGCCAGGGGCTGGGGAGGAGGTGGAGAGACAGCAGATGGGCACGTGACTTCCTTTTGGGGTGATGGAATGTTCTGGAACTAGAGGGAGGTGATGATTGCAAAACATTACGAATATACTCAATGCCCCAGATTCTCCTTTTTTATTGGTCAATTTTATGTCATGTCAATTTCACCTTGACTGAAAATAAATACATTGTTTAAACTTTTACAAGAGAAAAGATACATAGGGCAAGGGTAGTGCTGAGCACCTCTGGTGAGCTGTGCAGATGCGACCCGGAGCTGCGGGCTTGGAGGGCGTAGGCTTCTGCAGCCTTTCCCACGGGACTTTCTGGGATGATAGAAATGTCCTACGGCCTAAAATTGGTCCTTGCTGAGCAAGGACGATGTGGCAGGCAGCCAAGGAGCTGGCTTTTACGTTTGATCAAGTGTGCCTTCGTTTACTTTTAAATATTTTTGCGATTTTTATTTTTATACATATAAAGTTTTGTTTATTTGATGGTATCTTATTAAAGATTTTATTTTTAAGTAATCCTGACGTGCAACATGGGCCTCACACTCACAACCCCAAGATCAAGAGTCATGTGCTCCCGGCACCCGGCGGTCACTGCCCGGCAAGCATCTGACTCTTAGTTTTGGCTCAAGTCGTGATCTCAGGGCGGTGAGATCGAGCCCCGAATAAGGTTCCATGCTCAGCAGAGTCGGCTTAAGGTTTTCTCTCCCTCTCCTTCTGACCCTCCCCGCCTTCCTCTCCTGCACATGCCTGCTCTCTCTCAAATAAACAACAACAAAAAGTCGCACATTCTACCAGCTGAGCCAGCCGGGCTCCCCTATTTTTTTTTTTTTTTGCAATTTTTTAAATGGTGAGAATGGGGGTGATTTTTTTTATTTTTTAAATTTTATTTATTTATTTATTTATTTACTTTTAAAGATCCCATCTATTTATTTGACAGAGAGAGATCACAAGTAGGCAGAGAAGCAGGCAGAGAGAGAGGAAGGGAAGCAGGCTCCCTGACGAGCAGAGAGCCCGATGTGGGGCTCGATCCCAGGACCCTGAGATCATGACCTGAGCCGAAGGCAGAGGCCCACCCCACTGAGCCACACAGGCACCCCGGGGTTGTTTTTTTTTTTTTTTTTTTTAAGATTTTATTTATTTATTTGACAGAGATCACAAGTAGGCATAGAGGCAGGCAGAGAGAGAGAGAGGAGGAAGCAGGCTCCCCGAGGAACAGAGAGCCCGATGTGGGGCTCGATCCCAGGACCCTGGGATCATGACCTGAGCTGAAGGCAGAGGCTTTAACCCACCCAGGCGCCCCGTGATTTTTTAAAAAGAGATTTATTTTTTTATTTTAGGGAGAGAGAGTGTGTGCTGGGGGAGGGGCAGAGGGAAAGAGAATCTCCAGCGGACCCCCCACTGAGCCCTGAAGAGGAAGCCCTTGGCGTTATAGACCTACCTAGCGCCACCCTAAGATCATGACCTGAGCCCAAACCAAGAGTGGGACCCTGAGCCACCCAGGTGCCCCTAGTTTTTACAATGTTTAGATTGAGACAGAATTCACATGCCGTAAAATTCATAAAAAGTGTACAAGGCAGTGGCTTGGAGCGTCTTCGCAAAGTTGTGCAATCGTTTAATCTAAACGGACAGCGTAAACCACCACATCCGGCTGCCGTGGGATGACCCAGGGCAGAGCAGGTCGGGAGACAGTCAGATCTGGGGCCAGGATGTTGGGGAGGCGCTGGGACATCAGAAGAAACAGGAGTCAGGTGAGAGAGCCCAGCGTCAGTAGGGGGGTAGGTGCAAAGGCAAGGCAGGGGTGGGGTGAACCGCTCGCTGGGGGGTGGCAAATTTGAAGCCTTCCCGCTGCCTCTGGGCTACACCTGGCCCCAGGAGGCTTTAGGGCAGGGGGTCTGCTGGATTGTGTGGGAGCTAGAGGAAGGGGGCTGTGAGTCTGATGGGCTAGTGTGTACATGAGAGCCATGCTCCTGGCCGGTAGGCGATCTATAAGAATCGTCGGCCCCTGGAAGGGGCAGTGTCCCCTGGTCACCAAGAGGCAGCAGAAGCAGAATGGAGTATGCCGAAGACTTAAAAACAAGTTTACTACAGCGGGGTAGGGGGAGGGAGGCTGATCGCAGAGGATGTGGCCGGGGCCTGAGGAGGAGGAGGGGCGTGTTGGGGATGGGGGTCTCTGTGGTCCACAGAGGTGTCCTGAAATGGGTGGCTCGGTGGGGGGTGGTGAGGACCAGGAAGGACCGAAGATGTGGAGGGGGCCGTGCGGGCAGCTTGTTAAGATGGAGCAGGGGGTCCAGAGCTCCCGTCTCCCCGTTCCCACTGACCTGGCCCCTCTTTTCTGCTCTCAGGTAGGGCCTATTGAAGCCACATCCTTCACCCTTAGGGTTGTGAGACCCCAAGCCAGGTACTGCATCCAGGTGGCTGCTCAGGACCTTACCGACTATGGGGAAATGAGTGACTGGAGTCTCCCTGCTGCTGCCTCCAAGCCCATGGGCAAATAGTGGGGCTTGCCAGCCCCCACCCCGCCCAGAAGAGGGGCTGGGTCCTTGACGTCTGCCCCCCACTGCCACCCACTCAAGGACGGATGGGACCCAACCGGCCTGGGTTCGCTACTGCCGAGTTGCTGGGCAACTTTCAACAAATGACTTCGCCTTTCTGAGCCTCAGTTTGTCAATCTGTGCAATGGGGATGTACTTCTTCCTTAGACCGCAGTGCAAGGCCCTGTGAACTGTGAACCTGAGATGTTTTTTATTGTTTAACTAAAAAAAGATTGTTGCTGGAGTCAGGACTCCTCCCCTTTCATTTTTTAAAAAGATTTTATTATTGGGGCGCCTGGGTGGTTCAGTCGTTAAGCGTCTGCCTTTGGCTCAGGTCATGATCCCGGGGTCCTGGCATCGAGCCCCTGCATCAGGCTCCCTGCTCAGCGGGAAGCCTGCTTCTCCCTCTCCCACTCCCCCTGCTTTGTGCTCCCTCTCTCGCTGTCCCTTTCTCTGTCAAATAAATAAATAAAATCCTTTTTAAAAATTAAAAAAATTTTATTTATTTATTTGAGAGAGTGAGCTCCAGTGGGGGCGGGGGGGGGGCAGAGGGAAAAGCAGGCTCCTTACTGAGCAGGGAGCACAATGGATCCCAGGACCCTGGGATCATAACCTGAGCCAAAGGCAGATGCCTAACCTGCTGACCCTCCTCTTTTCAGTAGACCCAGATGAGACCAGGATGAAGTAAGACACACACAGCGAATCCCCACTCCCATGGATGGGGTCAGGGCTGGACCAAAGGCAGAGCCTGGGGCTGGAGGAGTCCTGGGGCTGGGGGCAGGGCTCTGCCTGGGAAGGGGTGAGTTTAGCAGTTGAGTTCACCTACCTCCTGAAAAGCTGCCTGGGTGGAGGCAAATAGGACATGAGCTTGGGACGATTTCTCTTGCTGGGGTAGGGGAGGCAGGGGGCGGGGGTTGAGGACCAAAGACACCAGGACTGAAGGCAAGAGAAAAATCCATGGGCAGTTCGTGGCCTGTGGGTGGACCCTGGAAGCTGGGAAGGTCAAGGAAACAGATTCCGCCCTGGAGCCCCCTCCCTTCCACCCTAGACTTCTCTCCGCTCCAGTCCGGAGAGAAAGAGGGCGGGAGAGAGAAAACGCACAAAAGGGGAAGGACAGAGGGAGAGGGAGATCTCAAGCAGGCTTCATGCTAACGCAGGGCTGGATCTCAGGACCCTGAGATCATGATCTGAGCTGAGATCCAGTCCCATGCCTAAGCCACTGAGCCACCCAAATGCCCCAACTTTACACTCCTGACCTCCAAACCATAGCATAATAAACTTGTGTGGTTTTAGGACCTGCGAGCTGGCGGTAACCTTCCAACAGACACGGGGAAGCTCACACACCATCTTGGATGCCCACTGTCCCAACACTGCTCTGTAGCACGTGCAGGGCAGGTGGGTGCTGGAGCTGGTGCGTGCACGTGCAGGACGGGTGGGTGTGGGAGCTGGGGTGCATGTGCAGGGAAGGCGGATGAGGGAGCTAGCGCGTGCACACGCAGGGGAGGTGGCGGGAGCTGATGCGTGCACACGCAGGGGAGGTGGGGGCGGGAGCTGGTGTACGAGTCTCTGCCCCGGACTCCAGGTAAACGTGCGGGAGGGCGTCCAGGCAGCTCCTCTGTGGACATGCGTAGTCCGTGGGAGCTGTTCCCGGCCCCGGGTGCACGCTAGGGACACAGGAACATGCAGCCCAGCACACAGAGTAAACACTCAATGACAGCCGCCGTGTTCGCTCCAGAAAGGAGTAAAGAACAGGGAACATCGCGAGCGGCGGCCACGGCGCGCCACGATGGAATTTTTGTGAGCGGCTGCTCACCTCTAGGGGGCGCAGGACCTCCCCTGATCTTCAAATCAGCCGATCCCCGGAACGTTTGTAGCAAACTCTCGAGGGTCCAGATCGGAAGGTAAGGTAGCCGGATTCGGATCTTGACAGGCAGGGACCAGACCCAATGAAAGGGGGCGTGCTATGCTCCTACCAATAATAGAGCGGAGGAAGTGACGATAGCGGAAATAAAAGGGACGGTCAGAGAAGTTCGGAGAACACCGAGCTTAAGCGTTCTTCTCGTGCTTGAGAGACAAGTAGGAGGCAAAGATGTCGGAGCGAAAAGTTTTAAACGTAAGTACTTTGTGACTAGGCTTTCTACCGGGGGCGGGACACCTCGGAGCTCCGGCCTAGGTGGGTTTCCCTGTGTTCTCCTATTGGAACCTTTTTCTCTTCGCCAACGGTCTTCGGCGGGGCGGGGCTTTCAGACACCTCCCAATCACCTTCCGTGAGGGGTGGGCCCTTGCGTCCTTTCGGGGCGGAGCTGAATATGTTTGCCCCAGCGCTTCGCCTGATTGGGTGTGCCGGAGGGAGCTAGCCAGTCACGTCCCTTGGGGGGGGGGGGTCCGCCCCGGCCGTATTGCCGTTCGCTCCTCCTCCAGGCGCCTGAGGCCCCGCCCCCAGGGTCCCGGGCGTCGCGTTTCTTGGGGGGCTTCGGCTCAGCTCTTCGGCTCGGCTGGCAGGGGCGCCCCCTCCCGGCCGCCTCGGCTGCTCACGACTCTGTTGGGAGTCCGGTGGGGCTCGGAAGGCGGCATGCGGCCCCCGAGCTCCGAGTCGCTGCGCGCGGCCCCCGGGGGCGTGTGTGCTCCGCGTCGGGGAGTGAGCGCCCCGTTGTGGGAGTGTGTAAGCCCCGCGTGCCGGGCCAGGGGCCCAGATGTGAGCGGCCGGGCCGGTGCGGCTCCCGCGGCTCCGCGCTCTCGTCTCCCGCACTCGAGTTAGGGGTCCGGAGCGGGCGTCCTCACAGCCCGGGGCAGGTGCTGGACTCTATGTCCGCGGGAGTTCTCGGGCCCTGGCGACCCAGCCGGCAGCCGGCTCTCCCCGTCGGTTCCCGGGGCTGCCGCGCCGGCCCCTGCTCATCCCAGCCTGCGAGCGGACGGGCCCGCTGAGGCCCCGGAGGCGGGGGATCCCGGGGAGTGGAGGACTCGAACCCAGGCCCCTGGCCCTGTAACCTGGGCTCCCGAGCCCCGGACCTCGCTGCACGCCCCCAGAGCCGTGTCCGCCCCGGGGCTCAGTTTACCCTCTGTGATGGGGGCTCGTCGCTCTGCCTCCACGAGGCTCTGCAAGGGTTCTGTGAGGCAAGAGCTATGAAGTGCCCCGCGCGGGTGCTCAGCACACGGACTGCTTTATTTTCGGATTATCCGCGGAGCTGTGTTCCCTGATCCACACCTGCCTCCTGCGCGTCTCCCGCTCAGGCTCCTGTGTGGGGGCAGCTAGCACGGCAGCCCGAGGCTGCAGTCCTTGGAACGGCTGGCTTGCGGGGTGGGACCTTGGCTGGCACCCGGGAACCGGAGTCTCAGGATGGTTCAAGGGCTGACACCCTTCCTGTGAGCAACACGGATCATGCGGAGCGCCGGCCTCCTCCCGGGTGTAGAATGTTGGAAGCTGCGAGGCGGTGAGAGCCCCAGGCTCCCTGTGAGCTTCCAGGAGATGCCATCTCCCATGTGTGGTCATCTCCTCGCTGGGGTAGTCAACACGTCCTGTGTGATTCCGGGGGAGCAGACTCAGGAAGCAAGTGCCTGGTCCCCCGGACCCGCTCCCACACACCTTTTCCCTCTGCTGATGTGTCCCTGCGTCCCTTCACCATAGTAAGTGGTAGCCAGAAGGATGAGTGTATGCGGAGTCCTAGGAGCTGCAGGGTGGTCCTGGGGACCTGGGCAAGCTCCCCAGAGCTCCTCCCTCTGCCCCGGCCTGCTTCTGTACCCGGAACAGCTCCCCTGACACTTTTACTTCCCATAGAAATACTACCCGCCCGACTTTGACCCGTCAAAGATCCCCAAACTCAAGCTCCCCAAGGATCGGCAGTACGTGGTGCGGCTGATGGCTCCCTTCAACATGAGGTGAGTGCCCCCCCCGTATGACTCCCCACGTGGCCCCTCACGTGGCCCCCTACATCATTCGTGGCAGACACACCTGGTGCCTGACATCCCCAGAGAGTAACTCCTTCCCAGCACTGAGACATTGACCCAGCGAGCGCAGGACTGTGCTGACCCTCCCTTTCCTCCCAGATCAGGATTAACACCCCTGACTCTGAGCCCCCAGCCAGTGTCTGCCTCGAGATCTTGATTGTGGGTTATAAGTGTGAGTGCAGAGATGGGACCCTGTGTACTCTTTCCCCGCCTCCAGCAGGCACACTTCTTCATACCCCAGGACCTTTGTACAGGCTGTTCCTTCTGCCCGGATCATTATTCCTTCTGCTCTCACCTGGCCGGCTCTTCACCCCACAGGTCTTGGCTTAAACCCCACCCTCTCAGGGACACCTGGCTGGCTCAGCTGGTCGACCCTCTTGATCTCAGGGTCGTGAGTTCAAGCCCCATGTTAGGTGTAGAGATTAATTTAAAAAAATAACAAGTTCTAAAAATACATGTTTTAAAAAACTATTTTAATAAAATCTTAGAAAAACTGTCACTCCCCGAGAGTCCCCTATGACCCCCTGTCTGACCCCTTCCATAATTCCCTCTCCCTCACCATCCCAGATCTTGGCCTTTGTATGGCTTCGCAATTACTGTGTCTTACAGATTCTGAGCCTCGTGCTTTTTTCACATTTTAGCATGTTGAAGTCAAACACCTGGTCATCAGACCCCTCGTTCTGTGAAACTCAGTGTGCGTTTGCATATCATTGGTCCATTTCTCTCCTTCATTCACTCATTTTTACAATTCAGCAATCCTTTTGGGCACCTGCAGTGTGCCAGGGCCTTGGCAACACAGGGGACGCTGTGGGGAACAGGATACCCCCCGAGTGCCAGCCAGGCCATTGCGAGTGTGTGACAGGCGTGTCTCAGCAGGTCTGGGCTGTCTGGGTGCTTCCCCAGCAGGGGGCCCAGGGGCCAAGGGCCAGGCACATACTAGGAAGTGCATGCTAGGTTGGGGGAATCTGAGACAGGCTGCCTCAGGAGGGAGGGAGGGAGCTCCCCGTCCCGGGGGTATGCCAGCAGCCACCTGCCAGAATGCCACCAGGAGGAACCAGGGTGCTGGGGTGGCTTGAGTCCCTCTGTCCTGCCCTGCAGGTGTAAGACGTGCGGAGAGTACATTTACAAGGGCAAGAAGTTCAATGCGCGCAAGGAGACGGTGCAGAATGAGGCCTACCTGGGCCTGCCCATCTTCCGCTTCTACATCAAGTGCACGCGGTGCCTGGCAGAGATCACCTTCAAGGTAGACACCAGCCCCGCCGGTGGGTCCTTCCCCTGGGGGCTCCCTGCTCCCGTCCTCTCCCTCCATGGAGCACCCGTGTCACCCCATCCCCAGGAGACAGGCTTGTTTCCGGCATCATCATGTACAAAGGCCCGGGTGTTCAACGACACGGGATTCAGGGAGCAGACCCCACAGTGACGCGCATGGCCGGTCATGGTCACAACCGTGTTGAGAATTTGGGGGAGCGCCCGAGGACTTTATGTTCTGTTGGAATTTTTTTTTACCTAACTCTTTTCCCTTTGGGTGTAAAAAAAAAAAAGGACATTGAAAGAATGACATATTTTGATTACTTTTTTTTGAGATTTATTTATGTATTTGAGAGGGAGCGAGTACATGCACAAGCTGAGGGGTGGGAGGGGCAGAGGGAGAGAAAATCTCAAGCAGACCCCTTGCTGGCCATGATCCCGGCGAGGGGCTCGATCTCACCATGTGGAGATCATGACCTGAGCCGAAATCAGGGGTCAGATGCTCAACAGACTGTGCCCCACTCCCCGCCCTGGGCGCCCCTATTTGGGGTCCCCCCCCTTTTTTTTTTGACAGAGACACAGCAAGAGAGGGAACACAAGCAGGGGGAGTGGGAGAGGGAGAAGCAGGCTTCCCACTGAGCAGGGAGCCTCATGTGGGGCTCGATCCCAGGACCCTGGAATCATGACCTGAGGGCCCCAGGCGCCCCCTTGGAGTACTTTTTTAAACATCTGTAGTGAGATGGGGTTCACGTACCACATACGGTGTCTGATTCGGTGGCGCTTAGTGTGCTCACAGAGGACTAAGCTGACCCTGTGCCCAGTTCCAGGAAATTTCCGTCACCCCCAAAATGAGCCCCGTAACCATTAGCAGTCGGTCCCCGTTGGGCCCCCCCCAGGAGCCTCCGTCTGCTCTCCACCTGCGGACATGCCCATCACGATGGTTCTCACTCAGGGTGCCCTGTGCCCTGTCCTCGTGCACGTTTCCTGGTGTGGTTCCGGGTTCCCCCGACCGTGGTGTGTGGTGGGGCTCCTCCCGCCTCACGCTCAGTCACGTTCCCGCGTGGGAACACACCACGTTGTATGCTGCCCTCTGTCCCCTGGATGGACACTTGGGTCCTTTCCAGAAAATGATCTCTCTTTTTCCTGAATGGTAATGATACGTATGTGTTTCTACGATATTTACGATTTAGATATTTACAAATATATATGCATTTTTAAAGACTAGAGGAGCTCTGGCAAGACGGTACGGATCGGCCCTCCTGCTGAAGAGCTTCTGGCGGTTAAGTGGCCGGGGCTGCACGTGTGGGTCACGGGTCCCCGTGCCTGCGCGTGGCGGACACAGAACTCAGAACTGCGAGGCCGGCGCTAGAAGTCCGCCTGCTGCTCCCGCCGCCCGGCCAGCCCCGAGCCTGGAAACAAACGCTCGGGAGGCACTCGTGCGGTTTCCGGGACACAGGATCCCCGTCGTCCTCACACTTTCTCTTCTAGTGACCCTTTCCGTATCGGGGCTACTTGCCCACCCACGGTGAGGCGGCGGGGCTGGCACCAAGGGTCCCACCTGACCGTCGCCCGCTTCCCCTCCTGTCCACATCCTCTGCACCCGCAGTGCCTCTGTCTCTGTCGCAGCGAGAAACCGACCCTGAACGTCACCGTTAGCCACGAGCCACACACCGGGTGGGTTTCCGTGTTCCCCCTGATGCCGACTCTGCGCTCCAGGGTCTCGTCTGGGATGCCAGCTTGTGTTTCCGCTCTGCATTCCAGACGCGCGTAGGAGCCCACTCTACGTACTGATATGTGATTTATGAGTACGGGAAACCGTGAACACGTGTGCGCACACACAGCAGACAGGAAGACGGGGCACGTGCAAAGGCTGGAGACTCACATTCGCGGTCGGGCAGAGGTCGGAGGGAGGCATCGGGCAGGTGCAGAGGGTTCTGAAGTTTTTAGGAAAGAGGACAGGGGCACTAGAAAGTAGTGTCCAACCCAGGCATTGAGACAAGACAAGCGGGGCAGCCAGGGGACGTTGCGCAGTGTTTGAGTGTCCCAACTCTTGGTTTCAGTTCAGGTCTTGATCTCAGCGTCGTGAGGTCAAGCGCCGGGTCAGGCTCCATGTTGGGCTCGGCCCTCGGGGGTGGGGAGGAGTCCACTTGAGAGGCTCTCTCCATCCTCCTCGGCCCTGTGGCTCATGCTCGCTCTTATTTTCTCTCTAAAGTAAATCTTCAAATTTAAAAAAAGACCCGGAAGGGGACGAGCAGGAGTGAGGCACAGAGAGGAGGTGCCCAGGCGGCCGGCTGCTGGCCAGCAGAAACTCCTGTGCCCAGGGCCAGACTGACGTCTGCCTGTCCTCTGTTGCAGACGGACCCCGAGAACACCGACTACACCATGGAGCACGGAGCCACACGGAACTTCCAGGCGGAGAAGCTCCTGGAGGAGGAGGAGAAGAGGGTACAGAAGGAGCGGGAGGACGAGGAGCTCAACAACCCCATGAAGGTGAGGCCGGTGCCTGCTGCTGGCGCCGCTTCCTGCCTCGGGCCCTGGGCAGGGCGATGGGGTGGGCAGGTGTGGTCGGCAGAGCCCCAAAGTGGTCCCAGGAGCCCACCCCCTGGCCACACCCCCTGTGCAGCCCCCAGAGTGCGCGTGCAGGAATCTCACACCTGTGATCAGGTGGTTACATTGGGTCACAGTCGACCTCGGGAGAGGGAGGCTGTCCAGCGGGCCGGACCTCTCACCTGAGCCCTTCGTCTGGGTCTAGAAGACGTTAGCGGTGTGAAGGAGCCGGCCTAGAGTGGGGGCCCATGTGGCCCCCTGTCAATAGCCAGCAAGAACGCGGGGACCTCAGTCCCACAGCCAGAGGGAAGAAGACTCTGCCAGCAGTCCGAGCCAGGCCAGGCCTCGGGCAAGACCCCAGCCCCTGATTTCGCTTCCGGAAGCCTTGATGGAGAACCCAGCCACACTGCACTGGGCCCGGAACCTACACCGGCCAGGGGACAGCGAGATCCCTGGGTTTTAAGCTGTGGAGCTGGGGACAAACTGTCATGCAACTGGGGAGAACGAATCCGAGGGGCAGGAAGTCGGACTTGAGAAGGCGAGGTGCTTCCTGCGGCCGGCTCCCGCCAGTTTGCACAGAGGACACCCATGACTGGTGGCTGTGAAGACTAGAAGCGTGGAAGGAAACGTTCTCTTGAAGGTTTCCTGGCTGTGTGACCTTGGGCAAGGCACTTGGCCTCTCTGGGCTTCAGAATCCTGGTATATCAAATGGCTTTGATGACCGGCCTCAGAGGTCGTGTGGGGCTTAAGTGAGTTTGTACACGGGAGACTCTTGGGACGGGGCCCAGCACGTACGCGGGAATCCCTGCATGATGAAACTCTGACCGGCCCTCTTCAAACAAACCGTCCTCTTCCGCTGGCCAGTTTGGTCATCTTTCTCGGAAATGGAATGACGTCTGTGTTCCTTCCGGCCTCCCCCACCCCCGCAAAGCCACCCCATCCCCGGGCCCCCCATGCCACTCCTGGCTGTTCTCTGAGCCGCGCATCGGACCGGACGCGGGTTCTCCGCAGTGAGCGGAGTGGCAGGGAGGGAAGCAGGCTCTGCTGAAGGGACTGTGTCCCGCAGCGGCCTGCACGGTCATGTCCATCCTGGTCCACCCACACGACCACGGGGGCTTATGGCCCAAGTTACCCCAAAACTGCAACTTTACAGACATTTCTGTTGCTCCAGTTTCTGGGGCTCAGGAGGCCCAGGGAGCTGAGCTGGGTGGTTCGGGCCCAGGGTCTCTCCAGAGGCCGCATCTCCTGAAGGCTCAGCTGGCCACGTCCTTGCCACAGAGGCGTCTGCACCCCCGCACGACGCAGCACCAGCTTCCCCAGAGCCAGCGATCCAGAGGAGCCAGGAGGGACATGCTGTTGTCCCATCACACCCCACTCGCTCGGAGCGGGGCCCGGAGTCCAGCCCGCACTCATAGGAAGGGGAATGAGGCTCCGCTTTTTCAGGGGAGAAATATCAAGAGAATTGGGGGACACATATTCAAACCCCCGGGACTGCCACTTCCCTCTGGCCGCAGTCCCAGCAGCCCTGAAGAGGCCGGTGCCAGCTTCCCACCCATGCCTCAGAGACCTGGGCTGGTGTTGTCGCAGGGGTGGAACTAGATCACGCTCGGCCACGTGTCAGCCTGGGGCCCGGCGCGTCGTGATTGCTCAGACGCGTTTTTTAATCTTGGTTACTGTTATTTTTAAGTAAGCTGCGCACCCAGCGTGGGGTTCGAACTCCTGGCCTGGAGATCGAGTCACATGTCCCCATAACAGCCAGCCAGGCCCCTCCTCTTAGTTTTTACTTTTGTGTCATGTCGTGGCTGGGCTGGACACCTGGCGGTGCAGCCTCAGCAGACCAGCCCCCATCCCCACGCCTTTCTGCTCTGAGCTGGGGAATGGGTGCAGTGGGGGGACGGGGCAGGAGGCCCCCGCGCAGGCGCCGTGGGTGCGGGTGGGCGTGGGGGCTCCTCCCCTGGCAGGTGCCGCCTGCCCCCCCCCCCACCCCGGCCCCCGCAGCCCCAGTAGCCGTTCACTGAGCCTGGGTCCTGCCCACCAGGTGCTGGAGAACCGGACCAAGGACTCGAAGCTGGAGATGGAGGTTCTGGAGAACCTGCAGGAGCTCAAGGACCTGAACCAGCGGCAGGCCCACGTGGATTTCGAGGCCATGCTGCGGCAGCACCGGCTGTCGGAGGACGAGCGGCAGAAGCAGGAGCAGGAGGAGGACGAGTGCGAGACGGCGTGAGTGCGCCTGGCGGGCGGGCAGCATCCCGGGCGCTCACAGCCTTTGCTCAGGCCTCTGCCCGCGGCGCCCTTCTGGGTCTTCCGTGGCTCCCTCAGGGGGCCCTTCTGCAGGAGCCTTTCCCGTGCTCCCCCCACATCTCACCTTCTCTCCCGTGGGGTCTGTGTCGGGGTCACAGCATCACCCCCCAGCTTTGATGATTCGGCAGGGTGGGGTCCCTCAGGCCTGGGCCTGCTGTGTCCACACTTTCCGCACGGCCCTGACTGCCCTGGAACCTTCCCTCTGCTTCCCCATCTCCGTCTCATCGCCGCCTCCCTCTTCCGGAATCTGAACGGGGCCCCGGTTTGGCTTCTGCATTCCCAGGGCGGGTGGGTGGCGAATGGCGCCCAGGGAGAGCGGAGTCCTCGTGGAGCACCTTCGGAGTGCCAGGCGCTGGGTGGTCCTGGTCGCAGCGTCAGTCAAGGGGACTGTCGTGTGGGGAGCTCCCAGCCGGGGTTCCGGCCAAGGCGGGCCAGGGTCAGCACTTAACCGCACCGCCCTGGGTGGCCAGAGAGGATTGTGGGGAGTCTGGGGGCCCCTCGCTGCCACGCTCACTCCTGTTGGGGGTGGTGATCCCACAGGGCCTTGGTGGAGGAGGCGCGCAGACGCCGGCTGCTGGAGGACTCTGACTCGGAGGAGGAGGCGGCGGCTCCTGCCCCACCGCGGCTGGCCCTCCGGCCCAGGCCCACCGACATCCTGGAGGAGGTGAGTGTGCCTGCACCCCCCGAGGGCTTTGGGGGGCAGCAGAGAGGGGGAGCTGGGCCCAGCACCAACGGCCAGAGACCGACTGTGAGTCAGCAGGCCCAGCTGCGAGCCAGGATAGCCTCGTCTCCAGAGCCGGCAGTGGGCCAGCCCCTGCTCAGCCACTGAGACGGGCAGACCCCCAGACTTGGAGACTTAGGAGCATGGATGTGTGTTTCTCAGTCCCCATAACAGCCCTGGGGTGACCGCCAGGACTTGCAGGCCGTACTGCTCCCAGCACTCAGGGACCCGCGCTCTTTGCAGCTTGTCTGTCTGCTCTCTCTGGGAGCGTGGGTCCCAGCTCTGGGGTCACGGCTTCTGGCCAGGGTGGGGCTGGGAGGGGTACCCGCCAGGTACTAGAGCAGCGGGACTAGTGAGTTGCAGGGGGCCTGGGGGCCTCTCGCTGGCCCTGGGCTGGCAGCAGGGAGCGGGGAGGAGCATCTGGCAGGGGACTGCTAGCACTTTTCAGCACAGCGTCTCATCCAGGGCGGTCAAGGCCACGCTGGCCTGTTAATCGAAGATGGGACACTAAAGCGAGAAATGACAAGTAGCGGTCACCCCAGACATGTTTTATTTTCACTCCCACGTGTTCGTGGTCCCTGCCAGCCAGACGCAGGTTCAGCCGCTGGGTGGGACCCAGTCATGCTGTTCCAACTGCATGGAGGTGACTTGTCTGTTGAAAAGTTGTGCTCAGCCACGCAGAACGGCATCGGGCCTAGGCAGCGTCCTGCTCTCGGTTCTAGTGGCCTGGGGGTGGCGGCCGGGGGCCTGCCCTCACTGCTTCACCCTCACATCCTAGCCAGGGGCAAGGGCCCAGTCAGGGAGGAGGATGGTCAGGGCTCCCATCCCACACAACCCATTGGCAGTGGCACGCATGCCATTGGTCAGAGCTCAGCCACCTGAGCACATCGTGCTGCAAAGGAGGATGGGAAATGTAGTCTTTGGGGGGAGGGGCGCAGCCATGTTCCCAAAGAGGCTCCGTGACTGTCCCTGGGAGAGAATGGCCCTGGGGGTCATGCATGCCCATCCCTTACTCTCAGACACAACCAGGACATTTTCCTTGAGGTGCTGTCCCCTGCTGCCAAGTCTCACACTGTCTTTCTTAAATAAACCGCCCCCAGAATTGTCTAAAATTTCCTCTTTTCTTCTTTTACTCGGAAGAGGAGATCGGAGCCACCGTGAGAGCAGTCTGGGTTCCTTTGCTGTCCCCCCCCCCACGCATCTGTTCCAGGCGTCTTCCTTGCACCTAGTTTGAGGACACGCTTCTTGTTTTGTTTGCACCACACAGTTCCATTGAGACCTCCCAAAGCCTTGCCATGACGTCTATCCCCTTCCGCTCCGTGGCTTCTGTGTCCACGGTTTTGCTTAGTGGCAGTGCATGTCATGGGCGGACGCAGGCTTGGGGAGGAGGCTCACGAGGGCTAGTGCTGGCCCGCCGTGGGGGCCACGTGGGTCAGTTCAGAAAGCGGCAGCTGGAATGGCTGGTCTCTCTCTGTAACCCACTGGACCACATCTGTCCCTGTCCGCGCTCGCTCGAGGGGCCCCGGCCGGTGCACAGGTGGCCACATGCGGCCATGCGCCTGCAGGGTCCCCCTCCCGCGCTCCCTGCTTCAGCCGAACCAGCCCTCTGGTGTCCCCGCTCCAGGCCTTGGCCTCACGCTCCACCGCTCAGAGTGCGGTCCCTCACGTCTCTGCTTGTTAACTCCTCATTCTGATGGCGGCGCACAGCCCCTCTCTGAGGAGACCTGGCCCCAACCGCCCTATTGACCGGCCGCTGTTCCCTCAGCTGTCACGCCACACTGAAGTCTTTCTTCGTGTCACACCACCTGTCAGGACAGACGTCCTGTCGATCTGTTCTCTGGTCCGTCCTCCCTCCTCCCTCGGATGGTGGCCCCCGGAAGGCAGCACCCCGTCCCTCGTGCCCCCGGCAGCTCCAGCTCCCAGCTCAGACAGGACCTCCTGAGGTCCCTGGATTCCGGTTCCTCTGTTTCAACATAAAACAGATTAAAGGGGTCCCTGCCCATACAGTTGAAGAGCCGGATGGAGATGGGCCTGAGCCCCTCTCTACCTTCCCCTCGCTAGTCCCCAGAGTGGGAGCCTCCATTTTCCCTCACTCCATCAAACACATTGGTAGAGCACCTTCATGCCAAGAGTTGTCTGTGGCACCGTGGACCCAGTCGTGAACACAACAGGAACCCCTAGCGTGGGTGAGGGGGTTACGTCCGGAGGCAGTGGAGCCCACTGAGGGCGTGGACATGCAGCACTCGCTCGATCACATGATCTCAAACTGTAAAGAAAGGTTTCTCAGAGGAGCTGATGCCTGGATGGGGTATTGAAGGATGAGTAGGAGTTCACCAGATGCCTTAGAGGAAGGGGGGCATTGCAGGTGGAGGGAATGGCGTGGATAAAGACCCAGAGGGGAGAAGGCGTGGTGTGATTCAGGAAGTGTAAGTGCGGGGAGGCCGGAGAAGGTGGGATTGGGGCCAGTTCACCCACTCATGCCACCCCTCACCCCCAGGCCCCAAAAGCCAAGAGGAAGGTGGAAAGCTGGGAACGGAGTGTCGGCACCCTTGGCAGCAGGCCCCAGCTGTCGGGCCTAGTCGTGGTGAAGAACACAGACCCGGGTTGCAACTCGCGGCAGGGCCTGGCTTCGCCCACCTCGAAGGGTCGGCGCACACCCCCCAGCCCCCCACCCCCTCCTGTGACTGGAGCGCAGTGCCTCAGGGGGCCACCAGGTGATAGCAGGCCCTCCTCTGGGGTTTGGGGGGTGGGCGGGACCATCTGAGTGGTGGGTGGGGGGCTTGGGGTTGAGGCCAGGTGCGCCAGCTCTCCTCTCTCGCCCAGGGCCCGTGCGGAGCAGCAAAGCAGCTGACCGTGCACCCCAGTTGCCGGGCACCTCCTCCCTGAGCCAGCTGGGGGCCTACTCGGACAGCGAGGACAGCAGCGGCAGCAACTGAGATCCCAGGCCCTTCCCCAGGTCGAGGTCCCGCGTCCAGAGCACCAGCCAGAGCCATGCGTGACTGGACGAACCCAGAGGTCCTCTGCGGCAGGCAGGGCCAGCAAGGGCTTCGACCAAGGGACTCGGTTTCTGTCCTCTCCCCCCACCTGCCAGCCCTTGGGGACCTCGGGGACCTTGGGGACCCCAGCTGACACTGCTGCCCTCCTGGCCCTCCGTTTAGGGCCGTGGCATCCTGGGAGAGCTCCCTGCTCCCGGCAGGCCTCTCTGGTCCTCACAACGTGGCTAATCCGGCCTCTTGGCTCTCGGAAGCTGAGAGACGGTAAAGGTCCGTTGATTAGTGGGCATCTGGGGGGGATTTGTGATGTAGCACTAGACCGCCGGGCCAGCCGCTGGTCACGTGACGGGAAATCGATTCCGGAGCTCGCGTTGTTTCAAGGTTGCCCAACTCCGGCTCTGGAATAGTTCTCGCCCACTCCAGAGCGTTCTGGTTGAAGGTCCTGTGCTCCCGCCAGACTCCTTCAGCTCCTGACCCCAGCTCTGCTCTCCCGCCCCCCCACCCCCAGCGTCGCCGGCCTCTCGCATACTCACATTTGTTCGTCATCTGGGAATGCGGCTTTGTGCTTCTCGCTGGCAGAGTGTGGGAGCCGAGAAGCCCCACATTGGGGATCCGCATTCCTGCAATGACTTCTGGGCGGGTATGGCTGGGAGGCCCCGGGTCCCCACCTCACCCTGGAAACAGGACCCCGGGGGGCCCAAGTTCTGGAATGCAGATTCTGGTCGGTGCATCCCTCCCCCCAGTTCGGCCCCCCGCAGCATCCTCTCTGTGGTCACCTTGGCCGTGGTGGGAGTATTTACACCGTGGGAGTCCGCACACAGATCAGTGCCCCGTGCCGGAGAGCCAGCTGTGGGCACTTCGCAGCCTGCCCAGCCCGCTTTCCCCAGAGTCAAAGTCAGCATCGTCGCGCGAGGTGCCTGGGATGGGTCTGTTCAGACCAGCGGCTGGGGGAGAGCATCCAACCCAGGAAGCACTTGTGGGAGAGATGAGGAGGCGTGGGGCCCCGCTCACTCTGATGCATCCCCGCAGCCCATTTCCTGAGCTCCCGTCCCTTGAAGCCAACCTCCTTGTGGCCATGTGTGCGTGCCAGCTGTCCCTGTTCTTTGCTGCAGATTGTGGATCCCGTTCTGAAACCCGGATCAGCAAACTATGATTGGCGGGCCAAAGCTGGCCCATGGCCTATTTTTGTGAATAAAGGTTTATTGGCACAGCAGCATGCCCATTTGTGTGCGTATGAGGTATGGTTGCTTTGCTCCGTGGCGGCAGAGCCAACAGGTCAGGTTTACCGTCAGGTCCCGGATAGAGAAGGGTTGCCAGCCCCCGTCTGGGTCGCCCAGCTCTGCTCTTCCTGCTCTGCTCCCCACAGCCTCCAGGGGAAGGTGCTGACACCGCCCTCACCCCGATTTCCAGGCTCACCCCATGCCCGCGGCTCTGCTGCCCGGGGTCACTTGAGAACGGGTGCCAGCTGCGGGATGCAGTTCACGGGGTCCCCTTAGCAGTAACAGCTAACGTGGGAGCAGTCCTTGCCCCTCGCTGGGCCCCTGCTGAGCTCGGGCAGACGCCCTCCTCTGAGTTTGCCACAGCAAGTTGCCCGCTCAAAAAACAAATAAATATATGTACATATATCATTTATCTATAAAGTACATATTAAAATGTGTATATAATTTAATATATATCGTGAAATTTATAATGTAATTTAATATTAATATAACTTTATATAATCTAGACTTACTTATTTTATTATTTATTACACAATTTTATTTTTTATTTCATTAATTTTTTTGAGCACCTACTTTGTGCACAGATGTGTTTTAGGGACTGGGGCTACAACGCTGAAGGAAAACCTATGACGATAATGCTCCAAAGAAAATAACAACAGTCCCCCCTCCTAATGGTGACATTATGTTCGGAAGATGGGGGATAGATAGTGAACGTATCTAAACAGAACAGCAAGCCCTGAAGAGAGGTGAAGTTACACTGGAGGCAGTGACGGTTCTGGATGAAAACAGCAGGGGTGAGGGTTGGCACCATCACGGGGTGGGTCTTGTCCCCCGCGCTGCCCCCCATCAGCTACCGCTGTGGAAGGAGATCCCTGAGAAGGGCGCAGTGGCAAACACAGGAGCCTGGGGGCGGATCTGCTGGGTTCTTGCCCTCACCTGGGGCAGGGCTGTGGTCTCATCTGAAGGCCCGTCCGGGGCTGGATCTGCTCCCACGCTCGCTCGCGTGGTTGTTGGCCATTCCTCACGGGCTCTGAGCCAAAGGCTGCCCTCGGCTGCTTGCCTACACGGCCCCCTGATGGCCGGACTCCGTAAAGCCAGCACAAGAGTCTGTGGGAAGTGGCATCCCCTCACCTTTGCCATGTCCCCCTGGTTGGAAGCAAGCCACAGTTCTGGCTACATTCAAGGAGAGGGGATCACACGTGGCTCTGGCCACTGGGAGGCGAGGGTCATTGGAGGCCAGTGGAGGGTCTACTTCCCAGACCACACCCCCCTCCCTCGCCCCCCATCAACTGTGAGCTTTATGAGGGTAGCTGTGTAGACGAGTGTAACCCCAGCACCTGACGCCATCTGGGCACTCAGTGGGAGTTAAGTGGAACTCACTGGACCCGTCTTCATCTTATCTCCCAGCAGGCTTTTATGTTTCCTTCTCCCACCTTATGAACTGGGAACCCTTCTGCCCTTGGCCCCCAGTTCCTGGTGGGGGTTCCTGGGGTCAAGTGAGCAAGCAGAGGGTTAGCGACACATCGGGGTCATGTGTGTGTGTGTGTGTGTGTGTGTAGACCCTCCAGGGCCAGGGCCTCAGGGCCTCTACTCACCTGCTCTCCCCTCAGCCCCCTGCACCCCCTCCCACTCTCCAGAGCCTGCCCTTCCCCCATAGCTGCTGACAGCCCCCTTTCCCCGCACCGCACTCCATGTCCTTCATCCCCGGGAGCGGTCAGCCTCATCCAGAGCCGCCTCCATCAGTGCCCCCTGGGGCCGCTGCGCAGCACCGGGACTTGTGGGGGTGGGCTGCCCTGCTAGAGCGCACTCGGCCTGAGCCTGGGCTGCACAAAGACACAGGGGCCGCCGCCCCATTTCCCAAGCTCAGCTGCGTGCCAGGCTCTGCCCCAAGCTCCCTCTGCACCAAAACCGCCTCTCCCTCAGACACATGCCCTGTTACTGCCTGGTTTTACAGAGGCGGGAAGCTCCTGGGCCAGGGACTCAGAGTGAGCAGGGGACGGGACCTGGGCTTGCCACCAAAAGGCTCCGAGGCTACACCTTTAATGACCACACTCTCCTGCAACTCCTGCAGGTAGAGCCTCCAGGGGCTGGGCCTCTCCCTTCAGACTGGGCGCTCATGACGACAGAGCTACGTCTCCCCCACCAGACTAGGTGTCTTTGAAGGCGTGACCATGCCTGCCCTATCCAACTGAGACTCCTAAGGATAGCCTCTTGTCTCCTCCATTAGACTAGGGGCCCCTAAAAGCAGGGCTGTATCTCGCAAGAGACAGGAAACCCCTGAAATCAGAGCCATGCCTTCTCCATCAGACTGAATGCCCCAGAGGGTAGAATCAGCCTCCCCTATCAGACTGGGAGCCTATTAAGGCATGCACCTGTCTCCTCCAACAGACTGAGGCTTCTGAAGTCAAGACCATGCCTCTCCCATCAGACTGTGGGTTTTAAAAGGCAAGGCTGTGTCTAGGAGCTTCTTAGGGCAGAGATTGTCTCTTCTATCGGAGTAGGAGCTCCTAGGGCAGGGCTACATCTCCTCCATCAGATTAGGAGTATTTAGGCCCCACTGTGAGCTGCCCCATCTTATCCTGGTGTCTTGACTCCCATCCCCGCTCCAGACTGACTGCTCCATGAGACAAGAGTGAGGGGACAGAGAAAGCAGGCACAGCCCCCACCCAGGGATCCCAACTGGCTCCTTCTCAAGGTCCCACCCACCCAAAGCATATATTGAGCACCTACTGTGTGCCACGTCATAGGATATTATTGGGCCATAAAAGGAATGAAGCTCTCTCACACACACGAGGATGAACCTTGGAAATGGTGAGTCCTCTCATGAACCAGCCACAAAAAACCACATAGTGTGGGATTCCACTTACATGAGAGGTCCAGGACAGGCCTGTCCAGAGGGACAGAAAGTGGACTAGAGGTGTCAGGGGCGGGAGAAGTGGGGGGGAGAATGGAGAATGGAGAGAATGGAACTCCCACATAGGGATGGGGTTTCTCGTTGGGGTGAGGAGAATGTTCTGAAATGAGTGGTGATGATTGTATGATCTTTTGAACATTCTCAACCTGAAATGCACACTTTAAGCGCGTAAATTGTAGAGCATGTGAATTGCATTAAAAAAAAAAAAAAAAAAAGGTGCTCCAAACAGTGTCCAAAAGCGCTCAGCAGAGGTTAGCTATCCTCCCAGCTCAGAGAGCTGTGTCACCACCCAAGGTCAGGGGGCTGGGATTCCAGAAAAGGCTGCACCCAGGAGATGCCCCTGATACAGGGCCTCTCAGACCCCGGGATGGAGGGCATGGGGAGGGAGAAAGCCTCAGCCCAGGACCCCTAGACCATCCCACCTGCTCGCCTTTGTCCATGCAGGGCCCCCCTCCACTGCCCATCAACACGCCGAAACCCAGGAGTTCCCGTGGCTCTTCAAGGGCACACCGCAAGGTCACTAGGCCCCCAGCCCCTCCTCATCCTCGCTGCTCCTCCCCGAACCCCTTTGCGGCAGAGGCGGGGCACCCCAGGAGCAGTGAGCTCAAAAGCGCAGGAAAGTCAAACGCCAGGAAAGTCAAATGCCGTTTGATTCTGCCTCGGGGGCCTCTAATTGCTATTCCTGACACACGCTGTAATTAGAAGGCCCCTTTCAAATATTTATACCTCAGACGTCTCCTATTTATCCGACAGGGAGAGGGCTCAGATTTGATGAGATCTGTCAACAGCTCATCCCCGAGCCGGGAATTGCCTTGCGGCTGACAGAAAACAGGACAATTACCCGCCGTGCTCCCCAGCAGTCCCCAGGGACACTGTCTTGTCGCTGATCAAAGAGGGCTGGGTTGGGGGGGGCGGGTGGAGGGGCTGCAGGAGGGGGACTGAGTTCAACAGGTTCATGTGGGCGACACAGCCAAAGCCGGGAAGGGGACATATGGAAGCCCCTGCTGCCATGAGGGACTTTGCCTGCTCAGCTCTGGACCTCAGCGTTGTCGCCTGGAAAGTGGGGCTGACCGTGGGGCAGAGGTGGAGAAATGCTGATCCCACAAAGACACTCTAGAGGGTCTTAAGAGCCACCCCAGCCAGCCCCCCACCCCCGCCAGGCCGCACAGTGCAGGCAGACCTGAGCTGTGGGGGGGCTCTGAGCAGGTCCTCCCCCCTCAGTGCCTCAGTTTCCCCATGGGAAAAAGTAACTCCCTTCTGCCGATCCTTCCTTCAGCTCTCTGGGGATTTCCCGTTAGAACCCCTGCTAGAAACCAGGAAAGCCAGGCACAGACAGCATAGACATGGCCCCGACTCACTGTTCCTCCCCAGGGGCCTTTTCCCAACAGTGTCAGCTCTGACTTCTGCTCTGGCTTCCCTCCCTTCCAAGCCTCAGGCACCAGGCCACCTTGGGGGCTGAGGTGGTGGGACAGAGCACTGGGAGAAGGGAATCTGCAGTCCCGTTCTTCCTGATCACCCCCTCTTACTTCAGTATTAGGGGGAGCTGAGCAAGCCCCCTTAGAATGAAAGAAAACCCATGTTTGCTCTGGAATTGGCCAGCACACCCCTTTGCTTCCCTTATCCCAGATCTCTTACTGTCCTCGCCCCCCAGACAGCTGCAGCTGCTAACAGGCAGCCAGGCCAGGCGAGACCCCTCTCATTTCTGTCCCCCTCCCTGCCTCCACCCCCAGAAGCCACAAAGGGACAGATGCTGAGGACCCGCGCCAGGCACAGATACCATCTCCCTTCCCAAGGCCAGCTGCCCCAGCCCCCCTCTCCCATGCTGCAATCAGTCCCCTGGGTTGGGGGTGGTTTGCAGAGAAGAGTCCTCTTGGGGAGGGGACGCCAGAACCCTCTCCCTTCCGCTCCCCGCTGCTTCCTTCAGCTCCATCAATATCAATTTTAGCCAGTGACCTCTGGAACAATCCGGCTGGTCAGTTGCGCCGCCAGATACTGGTTCAATTTCAACCCTCAACAGTGGTCGCTCTCACCCCCTCTGCTGGTCAGTTTTACCCCCTCTTGCGGTCACATCCAGACTCCCATTT